AACAAAAGATAGTTTCAAATGTGGGGGGAAAATGCAACATCCACTGTCAAGAAAAGGCATTCTTGTAAACGTGGTGTAATTGCAAATGTCCCGGGATGGATGGATCCATAAATCCCCATCCGTGCCTACCTTGGAACCACACAGGGCTCTCGGGTGCCCTTGGGCTTAGGGAATCCCTGACAGGGTTTTTGGGTCACATTATCAGTTTGGGATGGAGGCAGAATTTAGACACTGGGATTCTATTAAAAGTGCAAAAGTCTTTATTTAAATTTAGTCCCAAGTTCTTCCCATGGGGCACTTGGAGGCCTCCTCAGTTCCCAGGCACACACCAAGGACACTGGAAAGGGATGAACTTTTAGGGGCTGACATATTCTAAGGTGAAGCATAAATATTCATCGTTACTTGGAGTATGGCAAAAAATACCACGCGAGGAGGGAGAGAACTCATTCTTGCCTATAAAAATCTCAGGATCAACAGAAAGGCCCACTTTGATATCATTTGCATACAAATTCTAAATCCTCATCATTTTAATGGAAGTCTGGAATGCTTGTGAACTGCTGGCTAGGTTACAGACTGGGAAAGTTCCCCAAAAAGTGTTTCATTACTGGTGTGGGGGAAGCGATACAATTCGTCAACCCTATCTGAGTAGTTACCTTACTTTATCACCTTCTAAGCCAAAGAGCTATTTTTAAATTGAATTAAAAATTGCTACTTATGCAGTTATCCCGTGGATACCCTCCAAAACAGGATTTCTGTAGCTATCTTGGGTCAGAAGAACATGATGAATCAGCATGCAAACACCACCAGTTTAAATTCAATTAATTCCCGTTAAACGTTCACCCACTAAGATGTAGTTTGAATCCATCCCTCATAATTCACTCCCAGCGTTCACTCACTCTTAAATGCAAAAGAATCTAAATGTGCTAAAGTTTATTTAATTCAAAATCAGAAGAGTGGAGCCTCAAGAGAAAAAAACCCAACGCACTAATAAGAAATGCTTAAAGGAGGCTACTATTCACTGAGGCACAATTATCCTGCCAAAGTCTCTGTAATTCCTACCTTTATCCAGAGCGACCCCTCGTATCGTGGATGGTGAATATAGCAAAGGAAATATTAATTCTCTGGGTATCACGCTGTCTTGCCTGTTTAATCCTTAGGAAATTGGAAAAGGGGGAAATACTCTTGTCTCTCTATCACATCTGGTTTAGTTCTGACAGACCTGCCTGTAAGCAGAGAGCAGGCCTTAAATAAGACAGAGATACCTCAAGAATAACAAGCTCATCTCAGGTCACCCTGACAAAGACCTGTGGAGGTTTCCACCTTGTGAAATAAAAGGAAATATATGATCTGAAGATAAGCATAATAGTCCAGATCTTGGCACTGTTAGGGACGTTATCTCATGATCTCCACAAAATTAGTTTTTTTAAAAGGTCATTTTATTATCCGCAGACTGGCTTCTTCCTTGTGTGCCCTGGACAAAGTTAAGAGATGCCCAGAAGAGCACACTAACATCTACTTTGCAGTTTTAACATTTGGACAACTTCAAGTAGAAGCAACTTTAAAAGTACGAGCGACACTTGGCGTGTCTGACTAGGAAAAAAAAAAGATGGAGTTTTATTTTACCAGAACGAAAACAGCCCATTTGTAGACTCCATCCTAATCTGCATCTTTCAGAGCTTTCCAACTGATAAATTCAGCTGAAAAGCGTGTCTCCCCTGGGGGCTGTGCACGACACCTCTGTGTGCACCAGGGCTGCCAGCTGCTGGTGTGCCAGGGCTCCCCCCGCCACCAGCTGAGCAGCACACAACTGTGCAAGGGAAACAAATCAAAAAGCCTCTTCAATTTACTCATTTTATCCAGTTTGGAAGGGCCTCAAAGCCTCTTTTTTACCAGCTATATTTGTCTAATAGAAGATACTACCTCCCCTTACAAACCTTGCCTAACAGTTCAGAACAAACTTCTTTTTTTTTTTTTAATTTTAATTCAATAGTAACATTCTTTCAGCTATTTACCTTCAACTGATTATCATATCTGCTTCAGGAAGAAACTAGATGTTTAACAATGAAAATTTTAAAATATCCAAGTTATTTGCTGCCTCTGCACTGCCTGCGACCGCCTCATCTTCCCCTTTGGTGAGACTTTACCGGATCACAACAAAAGCTTCTTAAAGCATCCAGAAGAGCCAGGTGGCAGTGCAATTCATTATCCTTCAGAACTGTTCCTTTTTGCCCAATCTTAACCCTTCTCCCAAAAGAAATGTCTCCCGTGTGACCCCAGGACATTCAATTGTACTACAAGGTCTAAGCGCATCTGGACAGCAGGGAGGAGAGTGGCCAAGTTGGAGGACAGTGAATTTAATTCCCTCCTTCCCCGCTTTGGGATTTCTGCATCTGGACGGCAGGGAGGAGAGTGGCCAAGTTGCAGGACAGTGAATTTAATTCCCTCCTTCCCCGCTTTGGGATTTCCTGGATCGTCTGGTATTGGTTTTCTTTGCACTGAGATCATTCAGGCTGTATCACGGGAGATCTTCTCCTCCCAGACAATATAAAACATGCAAGTGTTTCCATCAAACCCATGGGAAAATGGTCCTTGTGAGCATGGTGTGACCCTCTAACGCACGATACGCACTGGGATTTGCAAGCTCCTGTGCCACATACAGTACTTTACCCAGAGGCACTCTTTTTTCCAGAGATGAATCTCCCTCACTGATCATTCAAGGCTTTCCTGACTCCACGAGTGTGAAAACTGATGGTAAGATAGCACCGTTAAAATCAATGCTACACTGGCAACATTTCATCGTTCACATTTCATTTTCATTATTTCTCCCTGGTTTGCACGTTTTGTATATATTTCCTACCTACAGGTTAGTTAACAGAGGAGTCAATCTTTGGCCTGACTGAGCAGTGTTACAACAGTGTAAGATTATTTATTTTTAAATAGGATTACAAATCATGGAGATTTTTTGATTCCGTATTTTCAAGGGGTAGAGACATATTGCTAATGAATTGCTGGCTTGCCTCCTTTTATTTACGCTAATCGCCTGTCTCCACTATATAATGGATTTGGGTGACAGAGGTTGGAGAAACATGATTCACAGAATTTTGATTTTAAGCAGGGAGTAGACAACAGTATAATGAGTTATGAAGAGATCGTGTTCAATAAACATTCAGGGATAGGAGCAGGAATGCAAAGGCAAGAGGGGAATCATTCTGGTTAAAACCAGCACTTGTTAATGAAAATCAGTCATTCATAATGGGTTATATTCTGTTCCAAACACAGAGCTGTATCTCTTGTTGGGAGGAGAGGGGGAAAGGAAAGGAGACAGCAAGAGACACAATCGTCACCGTGAGCAGTTCAGTCAAAGCCCCTGTTCAGCATCCAGCAGTGACCTCCAACGTGAAGGTAAGAAATGAAAAAAAGTAAATTACTCCAGTGCTCCAGTGTGTGAATCAGTCACACATCCTTACTTGGGTAAGAAAGCTTAATTGTGTTAACCTGTCATCGAACTGTTATTGGAAGTGGAGGGGGAGAGCTCAGGGACGGACACCAAGAACAGTCAAAAAATGGAAATACTTTCTGTGGAGAGAGTGAAAAACTGAAACCACCCGGCTTAAGAACAGGTAGGATAGAAAAGCAGAGAGTACCATTAGGTAGATAAGGTAGATAAGCCTATTCACGCTTTCTTACAGTACTGGCATTAAGTTAAAAGACAGTAAATTTCAAGGCAAAAACAAAAACCAACAACAACGACAAAAAAAACACAAAACAAAACAAAACAAGCCAAGCAAAAAAAAAAAGCAAACCCCACCCTTTGCTACTCAGTCCAAGTCTGCAGGTGGATCTCACTGCTACAAGGTATCTGCCAGCCATCAAAGCAGGGGCTCCTCATACAGAAACTGCAGTTTTGAGATTAATATAAACCCTGATGCCCCTTGGCATGAAACAACCTCCAGTTACTGTGGGAAATCAAAGATTGATTCTTTGCAGAAACCCCATACAGGGTTCTTCCCAAAAACTTTCTGAAGTAGACAGTTGGCTATCGAACTCAATAGACTAATCCTACCGCCTAGTTAGGAAGTTCTTTGATTTCTGCTAATGGTGTTGAGGTGCAATGAAAAGACTCTCCCTCTAGTCGGTAAAATTCTTGGCATAGGATTCAGGCTGTGGAAGAGGGAAGTTACAGGCTGCAACTTACTTCAGAATGGGACCTGCAGGGACTAAAGGGATCTGTTAGGCTTCCTCTGCAGAGGGGAGCACGGACATGGGCAGATGTGAGACCTTAGGCATGGCCTTAACATCCGAAATGAATGCCCAAGAGCCTCTTCTGCAGCCTGTACACACCCCCTTGGTGCTCCAGTGCCTGTACCTTTTGGAAGAAGCTTAACATCAATGAGCACAGCTTGGTTTTTAAGAGGGCAGAAGAAATCTTTTAAATCTTTTAAAAAGCAAATATTTGAAAGCCGTTTTTCCTTCAAACCAAGTGTTATTTGTCAAGAACGGTTGTATTAGTTGAACTGGAGCTATTCCGGGATTGTCCTAGGATAACGATAAAGCCTTAATGAGCTATAATTCCTGCGCCTTCTCTGAGCTGCTAAAACTCCTCTGAACCCAGTGAGGTTACGCGGTCACCAGCTGGGGAGGAATCGGCTCAGATCTGGCGGTGGCACAAAGCACTTTAAAGACATAACGCTGCCGGGCTCCCAGCGGCTGCGAATGCCCCGCCGTTACCGTACGGAGCCGCAGCACACGGAGAGCCCCGCTCCCGCTTCCTTCTGACAGCGTGTCCCGGCGGCCGGGAGGTTATCCCGGGGGATAACGGGGGACAGCGGGAGGCAGCAGGGACGCTGCCCCCCTCCCTGCTCCCCCCCGGGCTCCGACAGCTCCCTGCCGGGGGAGGCGGGGGAGGCAGAGGAGACCCGCAGGTCGCCGGTGGCCCCCCGCCGTGCCCGGTGGCCGCGGAGGGCAGGGGAGGGCAGGCGGTGAGTGACCGGGGGTCTTACCTGTCGATACTGATGAGGCAGAGAGTCATGATGGAGGCCGTGCAGCACATGACGTCCATGGCGATGAAGACGTTGCAGAAGAGGCGGCCGAAGATCCACTCGCCGCCGATGAGGTCGGTGACGCTGACGAAGGGCATGACGGCCAGGGCCACCGAGAGGTCGGCCAGGGCCAGCGAGACGATGAGATAGTTGGAGGGCTGCCGCAGCTTCTTCACGAAGCAGACGGAGATGACCACCAGGCAGTTGCCGGCGACGGTCAGGAGGGTGATGAGGGAGAGGACGGCCCCGATGACAACTTTCTCCACGTTGCCGTAGCTGAGGATCTGCTCCCCGCACCCGGAGTCGTTGGCGGGGAGGGGGCTCGGCGTGGGCAGCGCCGACGGGGGGGGCGACGGGCCGAGCTTGCCCAGGCTGCGGGGGGGCCAGGAGCCGGCGATCATCCTCCCGCCGCCGCTCAGCGCCCGCGGGTCCTCCAGGACCAGGGGCCGGAGGTTACCGTAGAGGTGGCTGCCGTTGAGGGCGAGGACCATGTTGGCCCGAGCTGCCCATGAAGCCCCCTCCGCCCGTTCGCCGCCGC